AGTAGCAGCTCGTAGTGCTTGCATACAGGCGAGAATATCTTGAATCCGCTTACTAGATTCTTTCTAATTCTCAATTGAGACCAATATTTTAGGAGGGTGATCGAATCCTAGAAGTGAACGGTCTAAACGCCGCTGATCTCACAGTAGACGACATAGCACGGATTTTAAATCGTGTGGATAAGGGTACGGTAACACTCAAGCTAGTACCAGCTGAAATGTCCACTCGTACAGAAAATGGGACTCCACATGTGTATCTGCGTGCTTTGGTTAGTTTTGCAATCTTATAGGCCAGCCTGTAGTAGATTACTTCTTTTCCCCCATCAACCTTTTTCATGATACAACCTAAAAGTAACTCTTCTGTTGCTTATTCAACTCGTGAAAATCCGTGTTTACTTATTTTAAAAGAACGGCACTCGTTGCAGTTCGATTACAAAGGCAAAGAAGATGAGAGACATCCTTGCCCCGAAGTAGCGCTTTCGTTTACTCGCGGTGATATCTTAGAACTTCAAGCATGTAATGATGATCACTGGTGGCAGGTTAGCATTATCGCTTCATCATTACCCAATTTATTAGTGGTAAAGTGCGTTTCCAGGCTCGACGCATTGGAAGTGGCGCTTTTGCGAACTGTGAGGATCAAAAAGGTAACTTTAAATGCTTTTGTTATAAATCAGGCTTCTTTTCGATTATCAATGAATCCACTAATTTTAAGGTCAGTAGTGAACTTTGTGAAGAGGAACATGGAATTTTCAAATCTATTCTATCATTCGCATTGCGAGTGCTGTCAGAATTTAGTTTTCAAAAGTCAGGCTATGCAATTGAGCTTCTAACGGCCATGAATTCGCTTAAACTCTCATGTGCTCACGCTAAATTCAAAATACTATGACTATTGATTGATCATTTATACAATCTTTTGAAATGGCGTGGAGAATTACGATTACACTACGCGCTGAAACATCCATTTTTCTTTGATGGAGGTTCGCTCTACAAAAAGTAGGCGTCTATGTAACAGGATCTTCACGCATCGGTCTGATACCCTCGGAAACAC